ATCAAGCATTATGTAATGCTATTGTCTTTATAACATTGCACAAACAAGTGTCAATTAAGAAAATTCCAGTGTCGAAAGTTACAGAACGAGCCTGCAAGTTCGAAAGCGCGAATCGGCCTTAAGATAGTAATACGGCAGTGTAGTCCGGCCACAGCTTGCGGGGATGCGAACCCGAGGCGCACCCCACGAATGTTAACGCGCCGCATTAGCCTGGTATTGGTTAGAAACGCGGTGGTGAGCAATAATTCTGATAACGCAGCATGTTGTCATGTTGCGCGGCATACGAAATGGTTCGCGCACGCCTTTACGGTGAAGGCGAAGCCACCCTTACCCCCGTACTTGGAACCACCCTTCGTCGCCGAAAGACGGCGAACACGCGTGACTCGCGACGCCCCTTAAACGAACGCTTTCATACGACAATGGTTCTTTTAGCATCGCAATAACATTCGTTGTGTGTGTATATGATAATATTTTTTCTCTTTTATTATTTCTCTCTCTTTCTTTACTCACAATTTTTAAATTCCACTTTGATATAAGAAAGCTATAAAAATGCTGTTTCCTGCCATGCAGAAATTTTCAATTTTTGTTAAAAAATTATTAGATTAATATTATAAATATTATTTTTCGTTTGAAATTTATTATATCTAGAAAATTATATTTCCTTATTAAATTAGTAAATCGATATTATCAATATTATTTAAAACTTTTATTTTGTCATCTATATGTTCAGATAACTATTTAATTTGATTTAATATTAAGTCAATCAAAAAGAAAACGTGATAGATGACAGGTATTTAAGATTGTAAATAAAAACTTATGACAATATTTGCAAGATTCAGCAATGTCATTGCAACTCGCGGTGTTCTCAAACTCTCATACGGTGGAGATGTTTTTCCGCGGTGGCAATATCGAATCCAATATCGTGGCAATAAATGGCCGGAGTATTATGTATCGGCCTAATAACGATCGTAATAAACTTACGAGTTACTTTATGAGACAACCCGACCGCTTGTAGATGGCTCCGACTGCCGTGCCAGGTGACGCGTGCCGTAAAAATTTCGTCAATTTTATTCCGTGCCCTTAGTGCCCTTAGACGAGGCTACGAGATGCTTTTTTACTCACAAGCAAATCGCGTTGACGTACCGAAATTGAAGTACGGTCGTTTTTTCGATGATCTGCGCGATTGAACGACACGCTCGAAAACGCGCTCTATCAAACACAGAACATGTGATTCAATTTCACGAAATTTATTACAACGAGGATGGATCACATAAGAGATAATAATATATCCATGTAGTATGTTAAGAACGTTCGAGAAAAGAAATAAAGAATCAGAAATTCCGGAATACTTATAGCATTTGTTTGATATTTATCTAGATTTCATAGACTCTTATATAACCGATAATATATATTTACGTTTTATTCTTTTATGATAACTATATTTTATTGTTTGAAATATGTGTATATCTGTATTCGATAAAGAATCATAAGTAAAAAGATACAAAAAAAAAATCGAGTAAAATCATGAAATAAATGTTTTGTCACATTCTAAACTATTAATAATTAAATGCAGTAATATTAATAATTATTTGAATATCAACTATAAAAGATTTTTAACGAAGATTCTTAAAGAATGAAAAGTACACTTCTCTGTACCGAGAGTTCTGTTCAGAGAAGAGCGTGAAGGATCTCTTGTTTTGACGTGGCCGATTTAGACTCGCGGCTGAGATTAAACTGTTTACGGTTAAAACTGCTGCGAATTACACACGCGTCCGCTTTAATCTGTGATTTACGGTTGCAGAGATCGCAAGAGGGGTGAATTTGTCCGTGATCCCAATCTCCGTGGAGAATTTAACTGTGAACGCGCGGAGGGCGACTCGCGTGCACCCCTTGACTCATATCATTGGCGCATCCTAGATCGTTTAATTATACTTTAAGATTGTATTACATCTCGCTAAAAGAACCGAATATTTAGCGATATTTTTATATATCACAGAAATTTAAAATAAAATTTATAAAGTTAAATTAATTCAAGCTTTTAAAGTTTTAAAATTTCAGAAATAAAGTCAATTAAGATTTAAATATCAGAATATTCTTTAATATTTACATAATCCTATCTGAGTATTAAATATTTTCCAAATTCGAATATTTGATAATATGAGAAAATAAAAACATGAAAATTACATGCTAAGATATGAGTCTTTGAAGCTTTTCAATTTCGAAAAATTAGAAATACTAGAAATATTGGTATTAAAAAATATCTAAAGTCTTTCATATTTGCCGAGACCCGATAGATTACACGAGAAAGAACAATGCCTATAAACGATTTTTGTGACTGCGACCGTGCGTGGTCGCGTGCACATTGAAAGGTATATACCGGGTGAGCGCGCGATAAGTCGACCGACGCAATAGAAAACCCGATTTAACGGCAGTAAATCTTTCGATCGTGGGATTTACGATTCAGTAAGAGCGCGACGAGGGGGCAGTCGTAACGAATTTAATGAAATCGCTCTCGCGATTTTTTTTCTCGAGCGCACGACGGAGCTCTAATCTACGGATTAGAGATCAGATCGACGTGCGTGCAAAATCGAAACTTTATGATGCTCCGTCACTCCATTCGTTCCTAAAGCATTGCTTCTATCGCGCGCTATCTCACGGTCGTTTTGATTCTAACATCCCTTAAATGAAATTTGCAGCAATCCTAAGTCTTTATGTCCTAGAATAAATCGTCGCGTTCGAATAAAAAATTGAATTGTACTAAAATTACGAAATATAAAAGGAAAAAAGTTATGAGAAAAATAAAGAATTTGCGAAAAATAAATTAACTATGACAAAATTTAAATCAGAATTTCACTGTGTGAAATTAGATTCCTAATTTTTATTATCATAAACATCTTAGAGATAGTTATCTTAGATCTTAGTTATTTTAGATCTTAGATTTCTAGCAACGGAAAAATATGTTTGATATTTTCATATAATAATTAAATAATATATTATACATATAATATTTAATACATTCACTTTAAATGTAAGAAAAGAGTTTCAGCTCCACAAAACAACTTTATAAAATTCATTTAATTCACATTGCGATATTCATTAAGACTTCCTATTTTCTCGAGCATCCGGATATCGGCGACTTTCTCGCGTCACGATTTACAGGTCGATTTGCAGTCCGGCCTTTGAAGCGAATCGCGGCACCGCCAGCACGTCCGCGCTAAACGCGAGGCCCGAGTTAAGAAAACGCGCTGAGAGGCCACCTAAAGTAAATTGATTCAAATTAGTTCCCAATAGCATGTAATAACGTAGGTTCCCGCGGCGTCTCTGTACCCTCCCATTTCGCCTTAGATACGTCATTATATCGGCCGCCGCCTAATACTTAGGCCGATAGGTGATATAACTCCAGAATTATTGCCTGCATACCGGGTGAACCATCACGTACGCGCCGCCACGTAACGTATCAGAAATTGCGCCGCGCCGTGATCGGGGATTGGAAGACAAACGCCGGATTAAACGCGGCCCGGATTGCTGCTCGCTCTCAATTCAATTTGCGAGTCGAGAGAGTCGCACTGAATACGGAAAAAAACTGTAGACAATACTACAGAACGCGTGATCTAAGAGAAGTGTAAATTTCTATTTAAATCTACCGAAATACAGATATCCTATCTTAAAATTTTATATTTGAAGAATATATATATATA